CATCTTTTGCGATGGATCGTATATAGGAATTCCACTTGAGGTCGGGTGTGAGTTTGAGGCCCAATATTCTCTCAAGGCATGAGGCCTCCTCGAGGCGACATCCGTTCATCGTGACTGGCGGTAGTTCGAGATCTGATCGGCGGTGATGGAATGTAACTAATGTGGAAGAAATTAAACCCGCTTATATCTAGTTAATTCAAAAGTAAAACGGCGAAATATATAGTTGTTGATCTAGTCGTATGTTTAAACTCAGGGTCGAGGTAGCAAGGGGGAAGAAGTCATTAGAAAGGGAAGACACGTCACGGTGATTGAGGAAGTGACTGAAATCGAGATGCCAGATCAGGACTAATAACATTACAGACCCTTATTTGGATTTTTGCCGTGAATCTCAAGATATATGGCGGGAGAACCAGACCAGATATGGCGGCAGTATTCAGTTCACGGACGAATGGTAAATAAATGTGTGAGTTGGATTGTGAAATAATAATAATAATAATAATAATAATGTGTAAGAAGCACAAAATCGAAACCACTGAGAGATGGTATGAGCGTCAACCAGACAGTTACCCAAAAGAACGATGTAACTATCCTCTGGGAGACGCCAATTCAAACTGACAGGTAAATAAAAGCCAACAGACTTGATATTATCATAAAATACAAGAAATTCGGGAAGTGTATGCATATTGATATAGCAGTACCCTCTGAGGGGAAACACCTCCATGAAAATTATCCAATCGAGATTAACAGGATCTGGAGAATGAAGACTGAGATCGTGTCAGTAGTCATCGGAACTCTGGACCTCGTGAGAAAAGGAATGGACAAGTTTATTAAAAGTGACACAGGTTACATCAATATATATAAAAACTAGGAAGATCCCATACTAAGAAAAGGAAGATCCAATTAAATGGCGATTTCTTTAAAAGCCCAAGGACCATAGTTTGACCCGACTTACAGGATACAAAGCAGGAAACAAACATCCAGAAAGAATATTTTAGGGTGTAGTTTGGCCAACAATGTCCTTCTGCATTATTTATAAACAAACAGATAAAAAGATCTGACTTGGGACAAGGCGTGGCATGATATATGTAAACAAGAAATTTTGGATTAATTTGGTGTTTAAACCTCCCCAACAATGTCCTACCATATTTCTGAGAAAAGTATTATGTAATATTTACATTATTCAGACTATTGTCCTCATCTTTGTCTGACGTTTCAAAAAAGTATCTGCGTGGCATTTCTGAGATGAAGTATTAAATATTTACATTATTCGACTATTGTCTCATCTTGTCGCCATATTTATGACGACGTTTCGGCCTTTCAGAAATTTCTGAGATGAAGTATTATGGATTTATTTACATTATTCGACTCAATCCTTCTTTTGTCGCCATATTTATGACGACGTTTCAACCTTCAGTATCTGTCTATATTTCTGAGAGATGAAGTATTATGTACAATTATTTACATTATTCGGACTATTGTCATCTTTATCGCCATTTTATGACGACGTTTAAATTTCAAAGTATCTGTCTATATTTCTGAGATGAAGTATTATGTACACTATTTACATTATTCGGACTATTGTCCTCATCTTTGTCGCCATATTTATGACGACGTTTCGGCCTTTCAGTATCTGTCTATATTTCTGAGATGAAGTATTATGTACACTATTTACATTATTCGGACTATTGTCCTCATCTTTGTCGCCATATTTATGACGACGTTTCGGCCTTTCAGTATCTGTCTATATTTCTGAGATGAAGTATTATGTACACTATTTACATTATTCGACTATTGTCCTCATCTTTGTCGCCATATTTATGACGACGTTTCGGCCTTTCAGTATCTGTCTATATTTCTGAGATGAAGTATTATGTACACTATTTACATTATTCGGACTATTGTCCTTCATCTTTGTCGCCATATTTATGACGACGTTTCGGCCTTTCAGTATCTGTCTATATTTCTGAGATGAAGTATTATGTACACTATTTACATTATTCGGACTATTGTCCTCATCTTTGTCGCCATATTTATGACGACGTTTCGGCCTTTCAGTATCTGTCTTTATTTCTGAGATGAAGTATTATGTACATTATTTACATTATTCGGACTATTGTCCTCATCTTTGTCGCCATATTTATGACGACGTTTCGGCCTTTCAGTATCTGTCTATATTTCTGAGATGAAGTATTATGTACACTATTTACATTATTCGGACTATTGTCCTCATCTTTGTCGCCATATTTATGACGACGTTTCGGCCTTTCAGTATCTGTCTATATTTCTGAGATGAAGTATTATGTACACTATTTACATTATTCGGACTATTGTCCTCATCTTTGTCGCCATATTTATGACGACGTTTCGGCCTTTCAGTATCTGTCTATATTTCTGAGATGAAGTATTATGTACACTATTTACATTATTCGGACTATTGTCCTCATCTTTGTCACCATATTTATTACAACGTTTCGGCCCTTTAGTATCTGTCTATATTTCTGAGATGAGGTATTATGTACACTATTTAGATTATTCGGACTATTGCCCTCAGCTTTGTCGCCATATTTATTACAACGTTTCAGCCGTTGTTCGCTCAGGCCTTCTTCAGTATCTGTCCATATTTCTGAGATGAGGTATTATGTACACTGTTCACATTATTTGTTGCCATATTTTTTACAATGTGTCGGCCGTTGTACGCTTCGGCTTTCTTCAGCTGATTGGAATATCGAACTGAAAACATTATTTCGCTCACTGGGGTAGACTGTTCTAGTTCCATGTTTAATGGATGTCAGTTATCAGTTATCTCCTGTTAATAATACCCAGAAATTCATACACAGTTGTCCTCAAGGACACATAACACAGTGGATAAAGGCGTTAGTTAGATCCAGTGACAGGGCCCAAAGTGTTTGAGTTCAAAGCGGTGGAGAACATGGAGAGGGGAATTAACAGGAGATAAGGAGAGTGCCTCCTTATTGATATGGCAGTACCTGCAGACAAGTTGACCATCTCTCGCAAGGGCTGATACCCTGGCCGTAACTGGTTGGTTATGTTCCCCGAGATGCTGATAACTGACCGTAACTAACTGGCCATGCCCACTAAATGATGATACACTAGCCGCAACCAGTTGGCAATGTCCCCCTAAGGGCTGATACACTGGCTGTAATCAGTCGGCAATGTCCCCCTAAGGGCTGATACACTGGCTGTAATCAGTTGGCAATGTCCCCCTAAGGGCTGATACACTGGCTGTAATCAGTTGGCAATGTCCCCCTAAGGGCTGATAAACTGGCTGTAATCAGTTGGCAATGTCCCCCTAAGGGCTGATACAATGGCTGTAATCAGTTGGCAATGTCCCCCGAATGGCTGATACACTAGCCGCAACCAGTTGGCAATGTCCCCCTAAGGGCTGATACACAGGCTGTAATCAGTCGGCAATGTCTCCCTAAGGGCTGATACACTGGCTGTAATCAGTCGGCAATGTCCCCCTAAGGGCTGATACACTGGCTGTAATCAGTTGGCAATGTCCCCCTAAGGGCTGATACAATGGCTGTAATCAGTTGGCAATGTCCCCCGAATGGCTGAGACACTAGCTGTAATCAGTTGGCAATGTCCCCCTAAGGGCTTATACACTGGCTGTAATCAGTTGGCAATTTCCCCCGAATGGCTGAGACACTAGCTGTAATCAGTTGGCAATGTCCCCCTAAGGGCTGATAAACTGGCTGTAATCAGTTGGCAATGTCCCCCGAATGGCTGATACACTGGCTGTAATCAGTCGGCAATGTCTCCCTAAGGACTGATACACTGGCTGTAATCAGTTGGCAATGTCCCCCGAATGGCTGAGACACTAGCTGTAATCAGTTGGCAATGTCCCCCTAAGGACTGATACACTGGCTGTAATCAGTTGGCAATGTCCCCCTAAGGGCTGATACACTGGCTGTAATCAGTTGGCAATGTCCCCCCGAATGGCTGAGACACTGGCTGTAATCAGTTGGCAATGTCCCCCGAATGGCTGAGACACTGGCTGTAATCAGTTGGCAATGTTCCCCTAAGGGCTGATACACTGGCTGTAATCAGTCGGCAATGCCTGCCTAAGGGCTGATACACTGGCTGTAATCAGTTGGCAATGCCCCCTAAGGACTGATACACTGGCTGTAATCAGTTGGCAATGTCCCCCTAAGGGCTGATACACTGGCTGTAATCAGTCGGCAATGTCCCCCTAAGGGCTGATACACTAGCTGTAATCAGTTGGCAATGTCCCCCCTAAGGGCTGATACACTGGCTGTAATCAGTTGGCAATGTCCCCCTCTAAGGACTGATACACTGGCTGTAATCAGTTGGCAATGTCCCCCGAATGGCTGAGACACTGGCTGTAATCAGTTGGCAATGTCCCCCGAATGGCTGAGACACTGGCTGTAATCAGTTGGCAATGTCCCCCTAAGGGCTGATACACTGGCTGTAATCAGTCGGCAATGCCTGCCTAAGGGCTGATACACTGGCTGTAATCAGTTGGCAATGCCCCCTAAGGACTGATACAATGGCTGTAATCAGTTGGCAATGTACCCCTAAGGGCTGATACACTGGCTGTAATCAGTCGGCAATGTCCCCCTAAGGGCTGTTAAAATGGCTGTAATCAGTCGACAATGTCCCCCTAAGGGCTGAGACACTAGCTGTAATCAGTTGGCAATGTCCACTATTGACTTGGACACTGGCCGTAGACAGATGGTCATGTCCCCTAGGAGTTGAGTCACTGTCCGTCATCAGTTGGCCATGTCCACTAGAGGATGAAATATTGTCTATAAGTGAGACTAGTTGGTGGTGGGCCGGTTGGGGTTTCATCATGACCCATTCTCAGGAGGATTTATTTTTTTATTTGTCTGAAGGATGAGGCAGCCACTGCGACGTAGGAAACATATCGAGAGGCTCCGGAAAACATTCAGTCCGGAGACCGTCTGAACGGACCTAATCAGCCGAGCCGAAGTTATTTCTGAATGAGATAAAGAAACAATGAATGAGAGTATTGCGAATTGAAAGGAAAGGAGGAAAGAAAGAAACTGAAAATAAAATAGTGAAGGAAGACAAAAAAATTCTTACGCAATAAATGAAAAAAAAAGAAAGAAATTTGCATATGACATGTTGAAGACAGGAAGAAGTAACGGATATGTGATAGAGTGATGAAAAAGAAAGAAAGATAAAAGCTCTTTATGACGAGATGAAGAAAAAAAGAAAGAAAATAAAGGAAGGAAAAATGAATCTGAACGTTACGAGATAAAGAAAGAAAGAAAGAAAGAAAGAAAGAAAGAAAGAAAGGATTTGAATATTACGAAATGAAGAAGGACATAAAGAAAGAAAGGCAAACGAATTTGAATATTATGAGGCATTGAAAGACAGACAGACAGAAAGAAAGAAAGAAAGAAAGAAAGAAAGAAAGAAAGAAAGAAAGAAAGAAAGTAAATTTTCTGAATATTACTAAATGAAGAAAGAAATAAAGAAAGAAAGGAAAACAAATTTGAATATTATGAGGCATTGAAAGAAAAATAGAAAAGAAAGGATTTGGATATTATTAGGTGAAGAAAGAACTTCTATATGACGAGGTGTAGAAAGAAAGAAAGAAAGAAAGAAAGAAAGAAAGAAAGAAAGAAAGAAAGAAAGAAAGAAATATAACGAGGTCTAGAAAGAAAGAAAGAAAGAAATATAACGAGGTCTAGAAAGAAAGAAAGAAAGAAAGAAAGAAAGTAAATTTTCTGAATATTACTAAATGAAGAAAGAAATAAAGAAAGAAAGGAAAACGAATTTGAATATTATGAGGCATTGAAAGAAAAATAGAAAAGAAAGGATTTGGATATTATAAGGTGAAGAAAGAACTTCTATATGACGAGGTGTAGAAAGAAAGAAAGAAAGAAAGAAAGAAAGAAAGAAAGAAAGAAAGAAAGAAAGAAATATAACGAGGTGTAGAAAGAAAGAAAGAAAAGAACGTGAATATTGCGATTTGAAGACAGACAGAAAGAAAGAAAGAAAGAAAGAAAGTAAATTTTCTGAATATTACTAAATGAAGAAAGAAATAAAGAAAGAAAGGAAAACGAATTTGAATATTATGAGGCATTGAAAGAAAAATAGAAACGAAAGGATTTGGATATTATTAGGTGAAGAAAGAACTTCTATATGACGAGGTGTAGAAAGAAAGAAAGAAAGAAAGAAAGAAAGAAAGAAAGAAAGAAAGAAAGAAAGAAAAATATAACGAGGTGTAGAAAGAAAAGAAAGAAAGAACGAAAAGATATTGCGAAACAGAAGACAGACAGAAAGAAAGAAAGAAAGAAAGAAAAGAAAGAAAGAATATTACTAAATGAAGAAAGAAATAAAGAAAGAAAGGAAAACGAATTTGAATATTAAGAAGGCATTGAAAGAAAAATAGAAACGAAAAGAAAGGATATTATTAGGTGAAGAAAGAATAAAAAGAAAGGTGTAGAAAGAAAGAAAGAAAGAAAGAAAAAAGAAAGAAAGAAAGAAAAAATATAACGAGGTGTAGAAAGAAAGAAAGAAAGAACGTGAATATTGCGATTTGAAGACAGACAGAAAGAAAGAAAGAAAGAAAGAAAGTAAATTTTCTGAATATTACTAAATGAAGAAAGAAATAAAGAAAGAAAAAGGAAAACGAATTTGAATATTAAAGGCATTGAAAGAAAAATAGAAAAAAAAAAATTTGATATTAATAGGAAAAAGAAAGAACTTCTATATGACGAGGTGTAGAAAAAAAGAAAGAAAGAAAGAAAGAAAGAAAGAAAGAAAGAAAGAAAGAAATATAACGTGGTGTAGAAAGAAAGAAAGAACGTGAATATTGCGATTTGAAGACAGAAAGAAAGAAAGAAAGAAAGAAAGAAAGAAAGAAAGAAAGAAAGAAAGAAATATAACGAGGTGTAGAAAGAAAGAAAGAAAGAACGTGAATATTGCGATTTGAAGACAGACAGAAAGAAAGAAAGAAAGAAAGAAAGAAAAGTTTTTGAATATTACTAAATGAAGAAAGAAACAAAGAAAGAAAATAAAATGGATAGGAATATTATGAGGCATTGAAAGAAAAATAGAAAAGAAAGGATTTGGATATTATAAGGTGAAGAAAGAACTTCTATATGACGAGGTGTAGAAGAAAGAAAAAGAAAAAAGAAAGAAAGAAAAAGAAAGAAAAAAAATAACGAGGTGTAGAAAGAAAGAAAGAACGTGAATATTGCGATTTGAAGAAGACAGAAAGAAAGAAAAGAAAGAAAGAAAGAAAAATTTTCTGAATATTACTAAATGAAAAAAGAAATAAAAGAAAGAAAGGAAAACGAATTTGAATATTATGAGGCATTGAAAGAAAAATAGAAAAGAAAGGATTTGGATATTATTAGGTGAAGAAAGAACTTCTATATGACGAAAGAGTAAAAGAAAGAAAAAAAAGAAAGAAAGAAAAGAAAGAAAGAGAGAAATATAACGAGGTGTAGAAAGAAAGAAAGAAAGAAAGAAAGAAAGAAAGAAAAGAAAGAACGTGAATATTGCGATTTGAAGACAGACAGAAAGAAAGAAAGAAAGAAATATAACGAGGTGTAGAAAGAAAGAAAGAAAGAAAGAAAGAAAGAAAGAAAGAACGTGAATATTGCGATTTGAAGACAGACAGAAAGAAAGAAAGAGAGAAATATAACGAGGTGTAGAAAGAAAGAAAGAAAGAAAGAAAAAGAAAAGAAAAGAACGTGAAATTGCGAAAGAAGACAGACAGAAAGAAAGAAAGAAAGAAAAAAGAAAAAAAAAGAAAAGAAAGAAAAAAGAAAGAAAGAAAGAAAAGAAATTTGAATATTACTAAATGAAGAAAGAAAATAAAGAAAGAAAGGAAAACGAATTTGAATATTATGAGGCATTGAAATAAAAAAGAAAAGAAAGGATTTGGATATTATTAGGTGAAATAAAGAAAAATATGACGAAAGAAGAAAGAAAAAAGAAAGAAAGAAAGAAAGAAAAAAAAAAATAATATAACGTGGTGTAGAAAAGAAAGAAAGAACGTGAATATTGCGGTTGAAGACAGAAAAAAAACAAAGAAAGAAAGAAAGAAAGAAAAGAAAGAAAGAAATATAACGAGGTGTAAGAAAGAAAGAAAAGAAAGAAAGAACGTGAATATTGCGATTTGAAAGACAGACAAATAAAAGAAAGAGAAAGAAAGAAAGAAAGAAAGAAAAACAAGAAAGAAAGAAAGAAAAGAAAAAGGATGAATATTACTAAATGAAGAAAGAAACAAAAGAAAATTTCCTTCCATAAAATGGATAGGAATATTATGAGGCATTGAAAGAAAAATAGAAAATTAATAGATTTAGATATTAAAAGGTAAAGGAAGAATTTCTATATGACGAGGTGTAGAAAGAAAGAAAAAAAGAAAGAAAGATGGATGAATGGAAAGAAAGGAAGAAAGAGAGAACTTGAATATTACGAGGTGAAGAAAATAGAAACAAAAAGACAAAAAGACAAAGAAAGAAAAGATTTGAATATTGCGAGATGAAGAAAGAACTTGTATATGTCGATGTACAAAAAAGAAAGAAGCAAATAAAGAATGAAATAAATAAGACAGAAAGAACTTAAATATTAACAGCTGACAAAAGAAAGAAAGATAGAAAGTAGGAAGGGAATGAAAATGGATGTGAATATGATGAGGCGAAAGTTAGAAAGAATGAAGCATGCATATTACGAGGTGAAAGTCAGAAAGAAAGAAAAAAAGAAAGAAAGAACTTGACTATAGAGAGAAAAAGAAAGAAAGAAATCATTAAATATTAGGAGGTGAAGAAAGAACTTAAATCTTACGAAAGAAAGAACGTGTGTATGACGAGGTGTAGGAAGAAAGAAAGTAGGACAGAAATTAAATATTACGAGCTGAAGAAAAAAAGAAAGAAAAAAGGGACTTAAGTATTATGAAGTTAAAGAAAGAAAGAAACAAACAAACAAAAAGAGGATTTGAATATTACAAAATGAAAGAAATATGAAAGAAAGGAAAATGAATTTGAATATTATGAAGCATTGAAAGAAAAATAGGAAAAAGAAAAGGTTTGAATATTATAAGGTGGAGAAAAGAACTTCTATATGTCAAGGTTCAAAAGGTAAGAAAAAATAAAGAATTGAGGAAATAAAGAAATATATAAAGAAAGAAACCAGAATATTGCGAGATAAAGAAAGAAAGAAAGAAAGAAAGAAAGAAAGAAAGAAAGAAAGAAAGAAAGAAAGAAGTTATTTGAATCTTATGAGGTGAACAAAGAATTTATATATGGTCAGGTTCAAAAAGAAAGAAAGAATGAAAGAAAGAAAATAGAAAGAAAGAACTTGAATATTGAGGGTTTTAGAAAATAAGAAAGACATATTTATAACGAGGTGTAAAATTTAGAAAGAAAAAAATTTAATTATTTTAGGGAAGTATATTAACATGTAAATGCTAAGAAAACAAAGACGAAAAGGTCATAAAAGGACAAAAAAAATAAAGAAAGAAAGAAAAGGAAAAAATAAAGAAAGAAAAATCTAAATTAAATATTACGAGATGAAAAAAAAAAAATTTAAAAAAAAAGGGAAGAAAAAACCTGTAAGAAAAAAGAAAGAAAGAAAATTTTTTAAAAAAAAGAAGTTGAAATTAAATATTAAGAGATGAAAAAAAAAAGAAAACAAAGAAAATAAATGATAAGATACTACAAAAGTGATGAAAAAAAAAATAAAAATCTGATGATGTGTTGAAAAAAAAAAAAAAATAAATTAAAGAAAGAAAAAAGAAAAAGAAAGAAAAGAAATTGTTCTAAAATGAAAAAAAAAGAAAAAGAACGTTTTATTACAGGGTGAATAGATAATGAGAAAAAAAATATTAAATTGGAGAAAAAAGAAAAGTTTTACTAATTTATGTATATGAAAACGAGAAATGAGAAGAGAATGTTTAATCGAAGAATAAAAAATTTGTTGTGAGAAAAAAAGTATTAAAGACTGGAAGGGAAAAAGAGAAGAAAAAAAAATATTCGAACAAAAGGAAGAAAAGTGAAAGAGTAAAAGAATGATGGATAGGAAGATTAGTTGAGGAAGCGAATAAAGAAGTGAGAACAAAATACTTAATGGAAAAAGGAATGAAAAAAGCAAAGAAAGAAAGGCATGGTCCTTTTTTGAAGGTTTTGGAAAATGAAAAAAAAACGAGATTAGATGGAAAAGAAAGAAAAAAAAAAGAAAGAAATATGGAATTTGGAAGAAGAAGAAAAAAAAAAATGATGAAGAAAAAGAGGGGAAAAAAGAGAGGCATTTTTTTTATAATGATTTAAAGTGAAAAAATTTAAAATAAATATACAGAAAAATGAAACGAAGAAAAGGTTAATTGAGCAGGAATTAAAAAAATTTTAATGCAATAAAAAAGAAGAAGAAAGAAGAAGAAAAAAAAGAAAGAAGATTTTTAAAAAGAAAAAGAATTCATAAGATGAAGAAGACGAAAAGAAAGACAGAAGATAGGAGAATTAAGAAAAAATGTTCGTCCATGTACTGAAAAAAGAAAGAAAATAGAAAAAGAAGAAAGAAGACAATAGAAGAAGAAAGAAGAAAAGAAGAAGAAGAAAGAAAGAAATTAGAAGAAGAAGAAGAAGAAGAAGAAGAAGAAGAAGGCAGAAGTTTTCTAAAAGAAGAAGAAGAAGAAGAAGAAGAAGAAGAAGATAAAAGAAGATGAAAAGAAAAAGAAGACAGAAGAAGAAGAAGAAGAAAAATCAATATTAATAAGAAGACAGAAGAAGAAGAAATAACCCAGAAGAAAAGAAGGAGAAATCTTGGAATTGTAAAGAAGAAAATTGAAGACAGAGAAGAATGTAAGAAGAAGAAGACAGAAGAAGAAGAAGAAGAAGAAAAGAATTAGAAAAAAAATATATTTAGAAGAAACATTTGTAAGAAGAAAAATGTCAAGAAGAAAGAAGAAATGAAGAAGATAGAAAAAAAAGAAGGAGATATTTATTTAAAAGAAGAAAAGAAGAAGAAGAAGAAAGAAGGAAAGAAGAAAAGAAGAAGAATTTTAGAAAAGAAGAAAGAAAGAAAAATTTAGATGGAAACGACGAAGAAAAAAGAAGAAAACGACGACGAAGAAGAAGAAGACGTCGCAAAAATAGACAAAGAGGGGAAAAAAAATAAAGATGAAGAAAAAAAGAAAAGTATGAAGATGAAAGTAAAAACGGAAAAGAAGAAAAATATGAAATAAATTACAAAGAAGAAGAATGAAGAACAAAAAAACAAAAAAAAGAAGAACAAGAAGGAAAAAATCATTTTTTAAATAATAAAATAAAATATTCCACAACAAAAACAAATATTAAAAAATAAAAATAAAAAATGATCTAAAAATACTGAAAACAAGTCTGAGATCAAGAAAAATGGCAACCGACAATAGAATGGGGAGGAGGAGACTAAGCGAGAAATTCAAATAAAAAAAAGAAACAGGAAAGCGGCTAAAAGTGAGGCATAATTGTTATTTGAATGGAACTGAATTTGTCAAAAATGGACTGACGTCATAATGCGACGTATAAAAATGTCGAAATCAGGGAAAAATAAAAAAAATTAAAGTCCTTGTAAAAGTAAGAATTGGTTGGCTAAAGAATGAGGAAGGCGAGGAAATTAAACGCCTGGAGAGTAAAAGTGAAACGAAAATTTTGATATGCACACACTTTATATTCGTAAACAATTATAAATAAAATCTAATGCCCATATATGCGAGTGCGCAATTTTGTCTCATCATAAAATATATTTTTTTAAATTCAGACAAAATTAAATGCATACAAAACATATATACATATTAGGTCACGAGCATTAAAATGGTTAGCATTTTGGTCATATTATCCAAAAATTTATATCTTATATTCGAATCCGCCGATGTTTATTATTTTAGGCCTTTTAAATATGCAAAAAAAAAATTGCACGTAATAACAACGACACGAATAATGGTATTAACATCACATTCGTAAAAATTTTGCCAACTTGAAAATAAATAACCTGAGCAACACCGATTTTATGTAAAGAATATTCTTATATTTTTTTATATATATATTTTATATAGAATAACAGAAACATATTAAAGACCAAATATGACAAACGCCTGAAGATGATCGAAAGGTAAAGGCTGAAATGTGGTGAATATGAAAAGGAAAAAAAGCAGAGCGAACGAATTTTTACAATGAAATATTCAGATGTAAATTATCAGTGAATTATAAGTCATTTGTAAGGCAAAAATTCTGGTAAACGAATTCATTTAGAATTTATGGATTAGAACTTTCTGTCACTGTTTAAACAGTTTTCTTTTAAAAATACCGGAAAATAAAATTACTGGGACAAGGTCTAATTCTTAAAACTGTAAATCTGGCGATGTTGAAAAAGACATTTTGTGTTAAATCATCTTTTTTTTTTTTTTTCATTATACCTGTTTGGATCAGTGTTTTTACTGCAGAACAATGACCATCCTTGTCATTATTTTAATGCAAAAAAGAAAAATTATAATGTTTAAATAAACAGGGTTTTATTGAACCAATTTCTGTATCGTGCGTATATTTTTCTTTGAATTTTTTTACGGCTTGTCAACTTTTTGTGTCCGATTTAAACACTGAATACTGCTGCCATATCTTGTCTGGTGTTCCTACTATATCTCAAGATTTCATTCTTGAAAAGAATCAAAGAAGGTTTAATATTATTAAATTCTGACCTGGCATCTCGACTACAGTCATTTCCACGGACGTGATCGTGGCTTCCCTCTATCAAAGAATAAATATTTTCACGGACATTGTTCTGATGAATGTTCTTCTTAGTTCATCGACTGCATGAATTTGAGCGTTCTACTAGATTGGCAATTAGGTCTCACCGTTTTGCTGTTGAACTGGCTAGATACACTTGTCAGTTAATTCTAATAGTTTCTTTCCTCGCACTTCTCGCCTGTGGAACACCTTTCAAATTTCTTACTTCCCTGCCACCTACGGCCTTCAGAAATTTAAATGCAACGTCCTCAAATCTCCTGTCTTTTTGAATCCTGTTTCTTTTTTGTCCTTTTAATTTCACTTTTTTCTGTCTGTAAAAACCAACCGCAACCCCCCACATCGTAGTGGCATTATCACCTTTGCTTTAGGTGAAACGATTTAAAAAAAAAAAAATCGTTTTTTATTATTTTTTTTTTTGGCTTTTATCAAACTTTTTTTACGAGTGAATATTGTATTAACAACTTTAAAAAAAAATTGTAACGCTTTCAAAGACAATTTCTAGTATTTAATCCATAGCTGGGGGGAAAATTCGTGGATTCATAACTTTTCCAAATAAAAATAACTGATATTCGTAATCTGGAGTTCTTTCCGATATTACTATCTTCTTCTTCTTCTTCTTCTTCTTCTTCTTCTTCTTCTTCTTCTTCTTCTACTACTACTACTACTACTACTACTACTACTTCTTCTATGTGCCGTGTCCCTTCAGGAGGTGGCAGATCATGGATCTCCCAAAATTCCTGTTCAAAAGAAGGAGCCCTTAGTAAAGTTTGTCTTCATTAAATCTCGTCTTAATCCCTTGCGTCCTAATTAATTGACGATAAAATTTATCCGTCCTGGGGGTATGACGATGAACTACGTCCGCGTCCAGGGTAAGACGATAAACTACGTCCAGCAGCAAGGCCTCTGATCAGGAGGCTTTGATGAGCGTGGAACCACCTCTTAATTGCTGGTATTCCCAGGTCCTCCCTGACCCGGGGTGGTAGCACCTGTTAGGGTCCCAGCTATGGGCAAATAGTTAACCCCGAAACTGAGGTAAAAAGCATTTTAAAAGTGTAAAAAATACCAGAAATTCTTTACAAATAATTATTACCAGAAATAAATTTTTGAAGAAGAAAAAAATATTACCAGCAATACGTTTTTAAAAAAAAAAAAAAGAAAAAAATGAAGTGTTACCAGCAATACGTTTTTGAAAAAATAATATTACCAGCTATACATTTTTGAGGGGAAATATTACCAGAAATGGATTTTTGATAAAACAAAAAATGTTACCAGGAAAAAAAAAGTTGTCGACATTAAATGAGCCATTGAGGTTGATATGCCGTAAATCAAACCGAACCAAACCAGAGAGAGAGAGAGAGAGAGAGAGAGAATGACATGGATTCACATCTTTCCTCAAAGGTATTTGCGCGTAAGTGAATTTAACGAACCAAACTGAAATGCGAACTCTACCCTCGTATTTACTCTACACCGTGGAGGGGGTGGGCGATAGAAGCTCTTTACAACTTTCTCTCCTACGTAACTCTTTAGTAAAGTGTCTGTCTTTTTTTGTGGGGGGGGGTCTCTCCTAATCCCTGTTCTGCCAACTATTTTCACAAGTGCGTTAAGTAGGTTATGTGTTGCTTTTCTTCGTCCCACTTACCTTCAATATGTCCTGTGAGTGTCAAATTTTCCAAGCCCTCTTTCCGCATTATGTCCCTTAGAAATTTCAACTGTCTCTTTTTGATGCAACGTATATGCACACGTTTTTGCTTCCAGTTTCGTTGCTCAAGTGTTCAGCCCATGGTATTCTCAGACACCTTAGAGCCACGTTTATTTTGCCACGGGTCTCTCCTGCATCAGTGATGAGATGATCCAGCATTCGCTGTCATATAGAAGGACCAATATAATATAATAGTTCAGAACTCTTTTCTCTCGGTATTTGTCTATATTTCTGAGATGAGGTATTATGTACACTATTTATATTATTCGGACTATTGTCCTCATCTTTGTCCCCATATTTATTACAATGTTTCGGCCCTTTAGTATCGGTCTATATTTCTGAGATGAGGTATTATGTACACTATTTATATTATTCGGCCTATTGTCCTCATCTTTGACGCCATATTTATTACATCGTTTCGGCCTTTCAGTATCTGTCTATATTTCTGAGATGAGGTATTATGTACACTATTTACATTACTTGGCCTATTGTCCTCATCTTTGACGCCATATTTATTACAACGTTTCGGCTCTTTAGTATCTGTCTATATTTCTGAGATGAGGTATTATGTACACTATTTACATTATTCGGACTATTGTCCTCATCTTTGTCCCCATATTTATTACAATGTTTCGGCCATTAATAAGGAGTGCCAGAGAAAAACGATAATAACAACAAAAATTGCAATATGAGTTCTGGTAAAAACATGTAATGATGACAGCAAAAATTGCAATATGGTAAAAAAATGGTTGCTGATGACATTAGGTTTCTAATACTCAGAAATTCATACACAGATGTCCTTAAGGACACATGGTACCGTGGATAAAGTTA